ACAAGATAATACTGACCCCTTCATCAGGCAGATCATCTGACTATAACATCAATAGGATTGACACATCCTGCTCTCTTCTTAGTGCTGCAATATTTGCGTTTTGGCTGGTGCTGTGTGCATTTACTTTGCAATAACTTATTAATTCAGAGAATTTGCTCAATCACCATTTGTTATTTGCTATTAAAAAGACAACGTAGTAGTCTTGTGTTTAAACATGCATGTGAATCTGAATTTAACAGAGAAAATAAAAATAAATGGTTGTTGAGTGGCAAATGAGTTGCTGGTATTTAAAATCTATATTTTTCTTTCTAACATGAAAGCAAATTAGCTGCATTTAACAATACATCATATTGATTTTGGTGATCCTGGCTCTGGTATTCCCTGGAATTGTATCAAAACCAAATTCTGTAATATCGCCTGCCAATATGGCTATAAAAGAGAAAATGAAATCTTTAAGAAATGTGGGGTGTTGGACAAGTGTTTATACCACAGTTAGATTATAGTCTATATGAGTCTAAGGGCACATTTGAAACCTCTATACTAACTATACTTTATGGGACAAGCTGAGTAAAACCAATGACACAGATGATTATTTTTCCTAATCCAATGAATGCATTAATCTAAATTTTCAACAAGTATAACCTACATGTGTACGGACTGCAGGTTATTATAGCGTACTTACTTGTTCTCACTTGCTGCCTTGTTAAGTCGGTTAAACACGTCGTGGAAGAGAATGCAGCTCGACTTGCTGTTAATATCATAACCGTATCCTCTTTTCCAGTATTCCCTCAGGTCACTTGCATACTCTATTACCTGTTGGTGCAGATAGTATAAATGTAACCTGTAAGTGGGCGGCTTTTTAAAAAAATATATTTTAAGAAGGGTCAATTTAGCATTTTCTGAGACGACATGTTCAACTGCATGAGTAAACACGCTTCCTTTTACACATACAGACAGTATAGTGCCAAAGGATTTTCTCAATGAGTGAATGGTGTGGAAAACAAGCAATACATTTAGATTTTTTAGTGTATACTCCTTAGAAACGAGCATTAGGGAATCTAAATTATTTGTATTATGAATAAAGCTGAAGCTGCCGTGTATATCTGACCCAGATCAGACCGAGCTGTTTAACCTAAGTGTCTGTTAATTATATTTTATGAATAGATTTTTATCATTTTATTTACCTTCCTTCCCCCTGATTTCTTACTTTACTTTATTATATTTTTGTATGAAATGATGTAATTTATTTAGATGTGTATACAATGCATTTTCACAAGTGCACATTTTTAGTAGCATCTCATATTCATCATGACATGTCACAGCAGACAAAGCGTATCTTCTTGGTTGTGCACGCTGGCTCCCTGTCACACTGTCATGTCTTCTTGGGACACTTAAATAGAACAGAGCCATCAGTAATGTTGTTTGTGACACCTGTGCCATTCCTGCAATCACGAGAGCCTGTGAAAATGGTATATTGTGCAGAGGAGCATCCTGTTTGTTCTCACAGTAATACAATACCCCATGAATAAATGAACATGCACTTACCACATTTGATCTACATACAATTGAATGCCAATTTCTCCTACCTTTGCATCTTCCTCATCGAAAAGTTGACACCAAGGCGAGTTCACTGCCTTGATTGCAAATTCATAAGCACACAGGTCAAATGCAGCATCAGCCATATCTGCTGGAGAAGGGTGGGTATACAATGTTTAGTGGTGAAAGCATGGAGGAGACTCAGCCATTTACAAACCTGAAATGCCAGAAAAAGACTTCCTTCTATACAACAAAAACACTACAATTGCTCAGAAAGTAGTTTATCTTAATCTTAACATGAAAACATTTGAAAAGACACTTTATTATTGCATCCTTTGGAAGACTATGATACTTATTCAAGGCTATGAATAAGAGCTCACTACAACCTGCTACAGAGGCCTCAGCACTACCAAATTAGTAAACAGCTCCACCCAGTGTGAAATGTGATAATTGAAATGTTGAGAACACTATCCCAAACACTTGACAGTCTAAGTGTAAACTCTGAGGTGCAATTACTGATATACAGTGTCTAATTTAAATGTGGTTTCAGGCAGTGACACACATGTAATTCTGTAAATTGGTTTAAGTAAGCTTGTTTTGCATGTTACATTTGTTTAATGTAAGAAATATTTAGCTGCAAGTTTTGTATGAAGGGTGCTAGACAAAAAAAGATATTGTGTCATTATTATTTGGATGATTATGATAGCACATGGGTAATTTCAAGTTATGAAAAAGGCTACACGATTTCAGAGAAAATGTACACAACACTCTCAACAGTGTAGAAAAGTAGTGTTTCTGCAGATATGACCTTGTGTGATGAGACTGTACTGGACTCCGAGACGGTCTGCCATCTTCTCCGTGACCCTCCTCATCTCTGGTCCCTGCCTGAACTTGTTGATCTCTGACAGAGCTGAGGTTTTATTATCAACGTCCTGCACGTACCTGGTGCAATGGTCAAAAAACCTCATGACAGAATCATTAATTGCATGGTCAAAGTCCTGATCTGGGTAGAAAAAAGGGAAACGTTATTATGAAAATGTATGTTGTAAATCATGATACATTGTATTACAGTCATACCTGTAATCGCCCACAGCTCTGTCAGTCCTGCCTTGAAGGACAGCGTGCTGTTGACACACCTGTGCTTTGAGCTGGTTATGAATTTGATGAATCCTCCTCGGAGCTTCTCCTCTGAGATCAGTGAGGGGAACAGCTTTGACAGCCTGATGGCCAGATGCTTGTGATCCTCCACACCTTTCTGCACCAGCCTGCCGTCCATGTCCTCAGTGTACCACATCCGCCACTGGCTCTGGATTTCCCGCAGCCAGCTCTCTTCGCCTGTGGCGTTGTGAAGAACCATGTTGTAGAGATGCTGCATCTCCTTGGCGTTTTTGCTCGTCGGGTACCTCGTGCCGTGTCTTATTATCGCCGTCAGATGAAATGGTTGACATTGTGCAGATGGAGGCTGCAGGATAGATGTGTTTACAGCGAGTATGTCCTTTAGGAGATGCGGGTTCACTTCTTCATACCTCCCTTTTGTGTTGAAATATTTGGCAATTGATGGTATGTCCAAATTGTCCTCAGGAGTTACATAATTAACTACACAGCAGGGGATGATGAGAACATGAATGACAGTGAACTTCCGAAAAAAATTCATAATTTTCCACGCAAGAAAAGGTTTAAAATGCAGCTGTCCCCAAAATGTATCTAAATCCAAAACAACTGTGACAGTGTTTAAAATAGGACTGAGCAGAGTCCAGTCAACTTTGTGTCCTCACTGCAAGGTAAAGTAAACATATTATTTCACAATAGCAATTGATGACCACCGAAATGTAAATAGTAAGAATGGAAAATAAAGTCCTCGTTCAAAGCTGGCTACATTTCATAATTCTAATGATACAATTATCTGTTTTTCCTGAGTGCTGAATAAAGAGGTATTGCACACATTTTATAGGGTTTTATAATAAACGCCATGGTCTGAGCTTCAAGTTTCAAGGTTCTTTATTTAGTCATACGAACATAGCTACAGTGTAGTTATGCCGATAAAAATCTTGAGTCACAGGCTTCTCCAACAGTACAACACAAAACACAGATAAACAGAAAATATAGTGCAAGTAAATGGTAAATAGTAATACAAAAAGAAAAATAGTTTAAAAAGTGAAATTGTGCAATAAGAGTCTATATGCAAGTTAAATATGATATATAGGTAAATAGATAAATAATTTTAAAATATTTTTTAAGTAGCAGCCAGATGAATATTAAGGATGTTGTTTCAACTGTTCAGGTGTTTAACAGATTTTGCTTCAACATTTCAGGTGTTTAACAGTTTTATTGCCTTTGGGATGAAACTGTCCCTGAGTCTGGTGGTTTTAGTCCGGATGCTTCGGTAACGCCTGCCAGACGGCAGCAGACAGAACAGTTTGTGGCTGGGGGTCTTTTATAATCCGGAGGGATTTCTTCCTTGGTCGTAAAGATGTTTTATTGTTATCAGTGTCAATCACAAGCACTCCTGTTTTTTATGTGAGTAAATGGCAGTCAGACAATCACACTTTACACAGCATAAGGGCTTTTACAAATTAACCCGAATAGGTCTTAAAAGATTAAGTAAAACAGATCTGCTGTTGATCCATGAAATAATTACAACACGTAGGCTGATAAGGATGTAAAGTGACCAATAGAGACAGTGAATGTATTGTCAGGCTCAACTGAAGAAAATCCACTCAGTGCTGTTTCAAGATATGCCAACTCGTCAAACAGTTGATCAGTGGTATCAAAAGTAGTGTGAGTGAAAAGCAAGAATTAGTGCGAATATATTTATTAAGATGTCAAATGACACTTGTAAAGTTCAAACAAAAACAAATCAGAAATGTTTTATTTTGTGCAACTTCATGGACTTTATAAGATGATGGATGACTTCCCCCACTACTGTCCAGCTCAATTAAGTATAATACAAATATCAACATTGGAATTGATCATGATCATATGTGTCTAGCTGTCAAAAATAATTATTGTGAAGCATATTGTAATTAGATAAACTAACTTGGTCTTTGCAAGTTTTGCATTTACATAGAGATTTCACTATATTGTTGGAATACATATGTTTGGTTCATATTGTTATATGGATTTCCACCATTACCCAATTCCACCCATTTCTGAGCTTTGGTTAAAAACCCTCACAACAAAGAGTGTACTTTAGTATGTTTTTTAATCTAAAAAGCTAAATGATACGTGCATTAAACACTGTTGCTGCATTCAAATGCTCCTCCTGTGCTACAACTTTAGAGCTCCCATGGTGGTAACATGTCTTCTCACGCATCCTTTGCCTAAATAAAAAAAAAAAAAATGCCATGAAATGTGAAGTCCATCGTAGTGTTGTTTTGTTTGTGTTATTGCAACCCATGACACCGCATTCCGTATTTTTGTATAGATAATCTGTCTCGTACAACATTTCAGATGGTACATGAAGGCAGCACGGGTGACGGTATGTAGGGAACTCCCAGATTCTCCAGTCACACCGTCTACCCATGAAAACACAAGAGAGACCCACAGAGGGATGTGAGCCACATTGCGGTGATAGCCACTACTATTTGAAGAGAAGTCCTTCAACATTTCCACAGCAAGGTACATACACTACACTCATTTACTACTCATTTGTCGAAAGAAGACAAAACTATCCGCTGAGCCCTCCTTGTGTATGTGTTTGGTCACTTAACACTGGCTCCAAATCGTGGTAAGGTAACAGTTAGTTAATGCTGTAGCACTAACTGAGTAAAAAAAACTCACCGTTGTATTATGTTTCGCTAAATTGCTCTACGTCTTCGCTTTTTGACAGACTACTTCTTGACGTTTAATCTATCACCTAACGTAGTGTAAACTAGCGTTAACTAGTGCTGCTCACTGGCCTTGTGCTGAAACATTGTATCAGTTGTCGACAAAACCCTCTCCCGTTATCGTTAATCCCGACCCAATGTAATTGGCAAAGAAGCTAACCTTAATATCGGTTTGCGCTGCTGTGATCTCGCGTTAGTTGATATTAAGGTTACTACTACATATGAACACATTTTTAGTATTCTACAAGCATGTAGCTAACCCGTTACCCCAAACCGCGCTATGAATCCAAGAGCCATGGCTATGTGTTAGCTAGCGAACTAGCAAGCTAAAGCACAGAAGACGCCAGCTTGCCTATCTATTTTTAGATGTTCAGACTATAAGCTCTTAAACTACTCTATACAATGGTTGCTGAGGCCCTGGTGTGAATGAGAGCAATGATTTAATCACATGAAACCACCTGTGTCAGCCATGGTGTTGAGGTAACGCTCACAGGTGTGCCTACCAACGTATGCATTCAATCGCGGTATATCATATGTATTCAGTTGCTGTCTCTCTCTGTATTATAACTCAGTTATTATTGGTAGTCAATGATGTGCTTCCTGGCAGGGTCAGATGTTTAGCTTCGTTTATTCTCTTTCAAAGCACAGTGGAACCGGTGACCTCACTGTTTCCCCTCAAATTGTTGACACGTCCCTGTCCCTTAAGAGGAAAAGGGGGGGAACTGTGATCCCATATGTTTGAACAGTTGTGTCGTTGTTGGAGAAAAGCCACCGCTGACATTCTGTGTATGACGGCTAACTCAAGATACAGTAAAGCAGTACAAAGCCTGTGTAGACAGCTGAGCCGACAGAGACATCGGTCAGAATACACAGAGGTGCTTTTGTGGCGGAACTGGTGAGGAAGCAACTTTTCACAGACATAGACACAGACAGTATGACTGCAGTCAGTGTCAAAGCAGGCAACATGTGTATAGTGAGTCAATGGGGTTTATTGTTGTCAATGCATCCAGCCCAGTTGCCGAGGAAGCCTCATTGCCAAGGCAAAGCATGTCAGACCATCATCAAGTGGAAACAATTCGTTTTCTGTAGCCACAGCTGTGATTCAGCCTTGAAAAACGCCCTATTCTGACAACTAAACATATTGACATCCTCTAGAAAAACTGCTTTGTTGTCTTTGGACATTTGTCAGTTAGCGCTTTTATTACGTTTTCTGCTTTTGGAAGAGGAAAACAAGTGTTGTTGTTTTTACTCTGGATGTTACCCTCCTGCTTCACCACAGTGGCTGTTTGTTACATTCATAGGCACGGATTACTTTAAGATACAAGAGGCCAGTGTAATCATTATGAATGGAAACAGCTTGTCTTTACTGGATATGACGGATTAATTAGTCACACCCAGATATTCCATAACTGGTAATAGCATCACTCTTAGTGATGTTTGCTTTTATCTGTCAGAACATAATGGAGAACATGTTCGGCTGATGTTATATGGTCGGCTGCATTACAAGCACCAGTATGATCTTATTAAAGCTACCTTTTCTAGGAATAAAAGGTGTATTCCTCTTTGTCCAGTTGACACAAATAAACTTCATTCTCTGACAATTAAGGAACTGTAAGTAAAACATGTAGCCCTAATATGAGGCCAACATACATTTAGCTTTCAGTTGGGTTTTAAATATGTTACAAAAGGACCTCAGATACAAAGAGAAATCACTGTGTGGGTTGTCATGCATCTACAATTAGACATTTGGCACAGCACACTCTTATTGGTCTTTATTATAACAATACCACTATTGCAAATGTTTGAATCTGCTCTTCTCAGCTACTTGAGCCTCAACACTCAAACTACAGCTAGGGTTTAATGCTATTAGCTGATGGCATTGGCCTTTTTGTTATTCTAGCCTATAGCAGTACAACGTTAGTGCCAACCAATAGCCATTGATCATTTGATATCTTTCATAGGTTTCCCTCCAGAGAATTTGTTTGTAATGGCTTTAATCTTGTTTCTGCCATAATTAGAAACGCATGAAGTTTTACTGCCAATCACATGACGTCCTAGTTTCCTGTGGCCTACAACTGCTGGAATATAGGCTAGTAGCACTTTGAAGTAGCCTGTTTTCGATTTTTTTTTTTAGACTCTAAATACGCACTTTTTGTTTTTTTAGACTCTAAATACGTACTTTTTGTTTTTTTTAGACTAAATACGCACTTTTTGTTTTTTTCAGACTCTAAATACGCACTTTTTGTTTTTTTTAGACTCTAAATACGCACTTTTTGTTTTTTTCAGACTCTCTAAATACCCCAAACGAATCTTTGAAAGGGTTAGGTTAGGCCGTTTAAAAAGTGGCAACAGATAACCCACAAGTACCCTGTTTTGTCTATTTCTGAAAATGAATTGTCCAAATATAAGAGAACTATAACACCTTTGGGACAGAATTTAAATGACTTTAAGTGAAATTTGCCCCGTTATACAAATGGAAAGGATTTTAATTCAAGGCTCTATATTCCAGCAAGTGATGCGGGTACATGACAAATGCTTGTGGACAAGGAGGGGAGTGGTAGTATCGGTTTGGAATGTTAAGTAGAGCAAGCCACTGCTGTGAGGCCATCGTTCTTTGTGTGTTTGGTGCAATTACCTGGCCTGCTTACACCTGAGCTCCGTATCCCCCTGTCCTGACTTGTTTCAAATGTCTTCCTACACTCAGGGGACCTCCTACATTCCACCTTTGTTAATGGAGTTCCTTCGGTTGTTTTGTGTTAATGAAGGCATACCAATATAATTAATCAGTAAACACCAAAGAAGCGTAATTGCCCTAGACCGGCTCCTGACCTAATTTTAGCACGTTATGAGTGACCTATTTTAAATGCAAAATGCATCATGATGCTATTTTGAGAGTAGCTGGTGTGACTTTGGCCAATAGCAGGCTGGTCACAATATTTCTTAAAGATACATAGATTAAAACCATATTATTATTATAGAGGAATGTGAAATACAGACTAATAATAAAACAACATAAACACAGCATACAATTTAAAACCTTATTACTGTTTAAACGTAGTGGTGTGTTTAAAAGACGGTAACCTGCAAGATTTGTTGATGTCTTTTAAATTAAAATACTTTTTATGACTGTCTTTAAGGACTCTCAAACAAGGTAATAATTAAGAATCACCATTTTTTTGTGTCATCTATTTAAAAAAAAGTTAGGAAATGACTACCAAAAGGTGCAAAGTCCATACAAGTATATCAAGCTGCCACTGTTGTGGACAAAGACCTTTGCAGTTTGGAAAGTTTGTATATGAACACATTGATTACTCCCAGTTGACAGCAGGTCCTTTGGGTGCTATCTTAGATACACCTGCACCACATGCAGGGGAACGCGTCGGTTCTCTGGGGCCGCGAGGGCCTGCCGTCCTAATGAGTGACTCATAAAGCCACAGATGGTATTCTCATTAGCAGATCTCACCTACGAGTACAGGAGTTGTTGTGCCGCGCAGCTCAGCCCCCCCCGAGACGAGCTTTCCATGCTTTATGCCTTGTCTCATCTTTACCCTTGGCATAACAGTTTGCTCTGTTAGTTAACAGACTGATAGGATATAATATTGTTCTGTGATTGCACGGTTGCTAAGGCCAGTGAATGATAAAGAATGGGTTTATTTGGCATTGTAGATATCATCATATTTCTTGGTTTTCCTAGTAGCAATATGCCAGATCAGCTGAGTGGTTTTGCAACATGGTAGTAAAATAAACAGTTTCCAGGTATTTAGTCACTCATTTGAAATGAACCGTCTTTGCCAAGGAATGAAAATCGCTAAAAATAAATATTATTAAATGGAATTTTCAATGGTGTATTTTTTTTAAACTGTAAATCAAATTATACCACACCTTAATATAGTTGAGTTTGTTTACTAACAGCACAGGCTTGGATAATTGACCCCAGTTGAGCAGACTTTAAAGTGCCCACAATAGAAACATTTGTGTGTAGTTTTCTGACCAGTATTGTGGGAGGATGTTATGTAATGCATGTTTTGGAGCTTCTGTTGTCAACTGTTATGGCTAGCTATTATTTCCTGACACATCAAATATCAGACCTCGCAGTCAGTGCCAGGTCTTCGGTCACTGTAACTGCAGTCATTCACGGTCATCACACTGTTACATTTCTCCGGTTCATACTATTCCTGTCCTTGAATAGCTTGTGTGATAGTGTGGAGACCTTGTGTCTGACAAGATGTTCCAAAATGACAATGGAATGATTGATCTAATATGAGTCTATGAACAGGGCGTGCTTCCACGTCTCCAGGAACAGTTGTATGCGTGTCAACGTGGCATATGTTATTTGATAGATTGCTGTATAGGTCAATGTTCCTTGACCTGGGGTTATCTGTTGCTCAAGGAGGACGTAGAGTGCACATTTCTTAACCATAGGAAACTAAGCATGTGTAGTTTAAAATGATGCCTGTGCTTAGTTAAGTTTACTGAAAGACCCCCCCCTGCATCATGTTGAGTTTGGTCTTGATGGCTCCACGGCTAATTTCTACAATCTACAGATGCATCAACAGTGATTGTTTGCTTGTATACAAAACAACAGCATGATTATACAGTCAATACCATCATGTGATGTATTGATGTCATGTATTGTTTATTTCATATATACATTGCTTGCTATAAACAAGACATTTGTGTGAGTTATAAACAACAGAGTATATATAGTAAATAGAATTTTGTAAGTAAATTACTCAATGAAATCAATGTTATCTGTAAGCGTACGCAAGTTGAAAGACATGTTTATGATCC